TTGTTTGTTTGTTTGTTTGTTTGTTAATTAGTTTATTTGCTTGTTTTAATCAATTTTAAATCATGCTTTTTATTTGTTCTTGTTTCTAATGTCTCTGTAAAGCACTTTGAATCACCTTGTTGTTGAATTGTGCTATACAAATAAACTTGCCTTGCCTTGCCTTGCCTTCAAAATGACTTAAAAAGTCCTGCTGGCCCTTCAGTGCTGCTCTTTATAGCAGATGTGCTGTATCACTGATTGATAGCTGATGAAAAGTCTCTGGAAACACTTGTTTATCTCCTCTTGTTTTTCTTCTTCCCTCTGCAGGTGGGAGGGCTGGCTGGTTGAAGGATGGAGGTTTCCACGACAAGCTTCTGCTTTCATTTTGATTGCTAGCCGGGGTTTACTGCTGCGGTAGGCAGACAGTGATTCATGCTTGACTAAATAAAAGATTTTTCTCGCTCATTAAAGCTAAGATTTCCCTTTCCTTTGCTAAACTGTAGCAGAAATTCTCATTAATATACTGCAAATTAAGGACGTAAAAGATTTGATTTTTATTTTTTAGCTTTAAGCAAGTCTTTAAGCAAATTTTTGGGTTCTTCCATATAAAGTTCATCTGTATCCCACTCCTGACCTCCTCATCATCAGTATTTTTTATACAATTTAATGAATTGTTAAAGGCATAATCTGAATTTTCTCAGCACTACAGTAGCAAAAAGGTGGATTGACAGGTAATGGCTTCCTGCCGCCTTGTTTCAGAATGAGAATCAGAAAGACTTGACCCCTGCCTGTTTCTCGATTAAGAATTTGGACTGCAGGACTTTAATTGTGTCTTCTTCCTCCGTAATTATTACATAACTTGAAAATATATTCATAGTATGGAGGTAAAATTTTCCATGGCTTCATTAAAAATGCTAAAATTACTACATATAAGAAATCACCTAAATCTGAGGGGATTAGCTGTTCATCACAAACTGATACCCTTAGCAAGCAACAACTAAGAGTCAATAAATCAAAAACCAGGGAAAAAGCTCCAGATGAAAAAAGAAAAACACAGCAAGGAGCTTGCATTTAAAAAAGCCAGCTCATACTCAAAACATCAGCCAAAGTAGAGGAGGAGCAAAGGACAGGGCGAGGAGGTGGAGATTAGATGGAAAAGTTGTTAGAGTTTGTATTGTTGATTGTCATTTATGCTTAGAAACATTTACTCATATATGCTTAGAAGGGTATAATCAATTGTAGATTGAAAGAATGTCTCATCCTGGGGGTCTGTGGCAGCTCTGTGTGGCATGAAGAGGGGGGTGAGTTCACTCCCCTACAGAGGAGAGGTCGTATCTTCT